AACTGTTGCCCCAGATATTGTCTTTCCCATGCTGCAGACCTCATGTTCCACATGCCTTGGTTGTCCAGGGAGACTAATATGGCTGTCCATGAATTCGGATACACCTGCCGAAACGAAAAGCATCAGTAGCAGGAAAAGATTGTTTATGGAGATGGCCTAAAGGATGAAGTTGAAACAGGCAAAAACTATCTTCAAATTGTTACATAATGCAGAAATTCAGTAGGAACGATGATTGATACAGTGGCGTAAACTCGGAGTAATGCCCAGTTAAAAGATATGCTTTTGGTTCTTGATGCGGCTTTTACCTGAGTTGTGTGTCTTGTAAGAGCATCAACCAGATTGTAGGTTATTCTTTTCTTTGGTGTCCACTGTCCAGAGCCGAAACTGTATATATCATGATAGAAATGATAAGTACCTGCTCTGCCAGAGAAAAGATGTATGAAATTAAACAAACCAGACATTGCGACTCACCCAACGACCCAAAAATCGTAACCATCAAGATGCCAAGATTGCATGGTGTTTTCGTTGTTCTGAAAGACAATTTCAAGAAAATCATGGAGAGAAGCTGGCATAACCGAGGTTGCAAAGAAGGCGGCACCGCCTGAAGGGACGTCTTGGATGGCATTCATGCTAAAAACTCCTGGAATGTTAAAATGATCAGCAAGCTTCAGAGGGGTGTCAGCATTAATATAGGAGACGCCATTCACTGAATAACGCAGCTTTCCATTGATCAAAGATGCTGAGTTGGCCAAGACAATTGTCTTCGTTGGTGTTATCTTACCATAGTGATATGAACCCTGAGGGTTAGGCCTGGCTGCATTAGATGTCAGATTCCACCTTCAAGGAAATGAAGAAAAAAGAATTAAATCAGATCATTTTTAAGTTGAATTCAAGAAAAAAACTGCAGCATCAGTCACAAAAGGTCATACGATCATCCATTGTCTAGTACCTATATGTTCTTGCCTGCTGCATTGACCAATGAAATTGGTACGCAGGAGCAGCTGGCAACGGTCCCAAAACTGGGGTTTGCGAGTTTGCGTAGTGCAAGACTGCAGTTGCAGTGAGGACTGTTCTAGTAAATCTTGTGGATGCAACAATGTAGTAGTCTTTTGGTGGCTGATTCAAAGTTACTAAGACCGATATGGACTGGCCGACATGTACATCAAGAGAGTCATATATGTTCTGAACTACGTGAGATCCTTCAACCTCAACCAACTTCATTGAATGACCCTGAATCCTGAAGTTAAGTGAGGTGGATAATCCAACATTTGAGATCCTGAACATGTAAGTTTTGCCTGAAACATCACAAATAAAACTTATTCAGTAAAGGCATCATTCTCTTTTTGAAAAAGAACAAGAAAGCTTCATAGAATTGAGTTGTTGAAGAAATTAATCTAAATGCTATGAATTATACAAGCAATGAAACGTGAAAGATAATATGAATTAAAGGATGACCTTGTTCTCCACTAAAGGTATTCTTTGTCTGCCCATTAATAAGGACTCCATCTGGAAAGCGAAGAGATTTTCCAGAGTCCAATGAATTCTGCAATGTCTGCAAATGTCGAGACAATATATTAAGAATGGTGTATAAATGGTAGGAAACCACTTGGTGCATGGCATGAGCCTAAATATTCATAGAATCTTAACCTTTTGGTGGAAAAATGAGAACTGTTAAACACTAACCTTATGGCTGGCCTTGTACCAGTCACCAATAAGTAAAGTGAAATCTCCATCAGGGTTCTTATAAGGAATTGGGATCACACTTCTATGGTATATATTGAGTGCTCCAAATCCACCGGCAGCTCTATGCATTAGAGTGGATGGGAAATATGTGAATGTCCCAATCTGATCCTTGGCTTGGAACTTGTTGGTATAGTTCGAGTTCGGAGGGATGGGGCAATTGGTTCCTAAAACTCCATCCTGCCATGAGTTCTTCCTTTGCTTTACCCCATTCCTGTTGTCAAGAAGAGCAAGCAGAATCCAGATTTTAGTGCAAAGAATGAAGTGTAACCAGATGAGAGGAGGGGAATGTGAGTAAGTGAATGAGAGAGGTACCATGTAAGCAAGAAAGGCTGATCAAGCTTGTTAATGAGATTCAATATAATGTTGTTATTAGTCACCACTTCAAGTTTTGGCCCAGGAAACTGATTATTGATAAGGATAACCTTAAAAAACAAACCCAAAGTGAAGAAATGTCAAAACTTTTTATAACCCTAAATCAAATCCAGATTCCAAAATCAAATTACCAACCTGTTGAGGAACTCCAAGAATTGAACGAATGCCATAAGTGACGGTCCAAGTGTAATACAAGTAGGGGTCTTCAGCATTCACCAGGGAAACACCCAAAACACACAAAAGTCCAATAATTAAACTCAACACTGCATTCGCCATATCCTTTTTCTACTGTGAATCTCACTAAACATAAATAAACCATTTAGTTAGTAAACAAACTACAAAGCTTGACAGAACTGTTTATCAGACCATATTTGACTTGAGAAGAAACTTACCTGATCTGAGACTCCCTGGAAAATAAGCTATTTTGATTTCTGAGGTCACTATCTAAACAAGTAGAGTTTTTATAGGAAACAAAGCGGGAAAAAGCTACACCAGATACAATTTTTAACGTAAATTTATCCAATCTGTATCCTTCTTTTAGTTGCAGAGGTAAAGGCTGTCGCAGTTAAGTACTATATTCGGCGTCTTTCACGCGTTACCGCGTTATGATAATTGCTTCCAGCTAAAGTTTATTTCCAGTCATTAACTCTTTCCTTTATAGTAAAATAATATATTTATCGGCTCCTGCAATCCCGCCATTGATTAGAGCATTTTTTTTTCTTTTGACCTTAAAATGGTAGTATTTGGATAAAGAAGAGGTTTGGATGTTTTGTTTTTCCCATAACTTTCCTTCCATTAACACAGTATTTTATATTAGGAAAAAAAAAGGGAAGAGCTAAATTGTATAAATTTGTTTTTTATATTTCTAATTTTTCTTACAACCTCACATGCATGCAGCATGCATACAGAAATCAAGTGGTTAGAAAAGAAAAATAAGTGTTCGTTGTCACTCACCACTTCTTCCATAAATATTTTAGCTTTAGGTTGGAACTGACAGTGGGCAACCCATAAAGCCATTTTGGTTATCTTTTAAGCATTAAATATGTCACCCTCCTCAATAAAAATAGAAGTGGTAGAAATAAAGTAAATAAATGGAGAATTAGTAAATAAAAATGGTTATTCTGTGTAATTATTAAGATTGTTGAATTTATACAAGCACGGAGGGCCTACTGTACTGAATATGAATGAAGAGTTGTCACGTGAGATGTTGGCAAATGGATTTGATAAGCGGCACCGCCACCGCTACCCCACCGCCTGGCACCAGCCACCGGAGATGAGATGAGATGAGATGAGATGAGGGAAGGGCACAGCATAGGTTTCTTCTTCTACCCACACATCATTGATTGAAAATAAGTTAGATTTTTTCACCTAACATCTAAGACCAAAATGTTTCTCTGTTTATTATCCCTTCAATAATAAAACAAAAGTTGTGTATTTTGATAAATCACTAAACTTATTATATTATAGCATTAATAGTTGGGTATTTATTATCTCTATTTATTATATTTTAATGAATCAACAATAAGTTGATTTAGTAGATGAGACACTAGATATCTTAGGTAAGGTTAATAGTTGAAATTCAGATGTTGCGAATGGAGCAAAATAATTGGGAAAGTTGCATTTATCTTTACAGTATTTGATCTAAATTAATCGATTAATAAATTAAAAATCGGTGATTATAAAAAAAATATATTGATAACCCATTATGGCCCTCCAATTACATCATTTTTTTCTTTCTTTTGTATTGTACTTCTTAGACAAATTTTTGATTCACCACATGTAGAAATTCTTTACTTTTTGGATGTTAATGCGTGGAGAATTTCCAACCCTAAAAATTTCAAAATGTCTTAAACAATGCTCTTCTAAGTAATTCCCTTTGTAACAAAGAAAAATATATTGAAAAGTAATGTGTTACTTGCAGTTCTTGATGAACATATAGATGTGCAGAATTAAAATTCGAGGTTGACATATCTTTAGGTTGGAACTTGCAGTTCTTGATGAACATATAGATGTCACACTTTCACCGCTTCAAAATAATTATTTTACACTCCTATTCATAATAAAATTATCATTATTAAACATTATGAATGACCATTTTTCGAGTAAGTATATTTGGTCGATCACCAAATTATTGATCTTTGTTTCTTCATATTTTTTAGATCACGAGTTTTAGATCTAGAAGAGTATATCTCTTCCTTTCCCTAAATTTTCACTACAACAAAACATATTTTTAGTGGGATTTTTTTAGTCCTATAGTGTTATTTTTAAGCGCCGCTAAAAATACTATAGTCACTAGGAAGAGCGTCGCTAAAACGAACGACGCAAAAGATAGCGTTGTTTGTGAACCTAAAATGCAGCAAAAAGTCAAGTTATATAGTTGTGTTTGTTCTTTTAAACGTCGCTAATTCTTTTAATTTTAGTGATTTTTTTTTACCACAAACGCCGCTAATTCTCTTATATTTAGTGGCATATAATTCTCTTATCTGTAATGGCTTTTTATTTTTTTGCCAAAAGCACCGTAAATTCTCTTGTCTTTAGTAGCTTTTTTTTGCTAAAAACGCGCTAATTCTATATTTTTCCTATGTTTTCTATTAAAATTCTGTTTTCGCCCCTAATATTTTATAAGTTCGATCATTCCTAAAATTTTAAAAGTTCCCTTCACATAAACTTTTAAGTCCATCTATGTATGACGGTGTGTAGCATTTGTGAAACAACTCGTGCAAATCAATGGTGGGTTTCAGCATCCTGTTCCAAGAATCTGTGCTCCAAAATTTGATGCTTCAGCTTGAATGCTCAGATGCTAAAGTTTGTCAATGACAAACTGTCAAATGCAGTATAAAAGCATATGAACTCAAAAGGTATTCTAGACTCTAAAAATCAACCTATTGAAATTAAGTTTTCAATAATCAATTGATTTCACCATAGAAACAAAAGGAATTGATCGTATGCATTACTTCCCATACATTTTTCAGTGTCATAAATATCACACTATCTTTCATTTTGGTATTCAATAAGTGTACATGTAATTTTACCTCGAGTTGTTCCATGGAGTTCTGGCTACGATGTTCGATGAGCAAATCTGTTAGCAAAATTCATTGCCTACATGTTGGTATACCATGGAATAACAGAAGCAAATGCTAAGTTAAAGATCTTTGTGAGCTGACGGGTAAATGATCCCCATACCTGCGAGCCAAGCATCGAACAGAGGTTCTGCCTACAAAGGTTTGGCCCGATGCAAAATTCTTTGAAGCTCGGCTGCCATTGCTTGCAATAAAACAGGTTTCTGAAGAACTGCATTCATTCCTATTTGCACGCATCTCTTCTGCACATTATCCTCGGTACTAGCTGTCAAGGCTATAATCAATGGCCAATTACAGCTGCGAAACTTACGGATCCTCGTCGCCACTTCAAACCCATAGATTTCAGGCATGTGAAGATCCAAAACAACAACTCTGAAAGAATTTTCAGCATGGCTGAATGCACTAAGGCATTCGAATCCAGTAGAAACGGCTGTCACTTCACAACCCAACTTTTCTAGCATCTTCTTGGTCACCATTCTGTTTATCTCATCATCATCGACTAGTAAAACTCGTAGACCCCTGGACCTCGAGTAGTAATTTGATTGCTCACCGGAGGTTCCATGAGAGTACATGGTTCTTTGGATATACGATTGGATTTGAAACCTGAGAAGAAGTGTCATGCTCTGTGCAAAGTCCAGAGAGTTTGTGGATATCCAGACGTTCTCTTGAATCATTTGCAAATACCAGAAAAATTATATACAATTATTACACGAACGTTAATGCAGCGTACTTCAACAGAAGGAAACAGCGGTGAAAGAAAAACCCCTTTCAAAATCTCTACATACTATAATTAGAACATTGAATTATTTCAAAGCTTTCACTATGGTGTCAATATAGTCAAAATAGCTTCGGTCGATTTAAAAGCAGCTACGATATTCATACAATAACCTATAAAAAGCTAAAAGGGTATTCGACCAAAAACATTGCCATTTCTAGAAATCATGAACCACTAAAAGCTAGGGGGTGAAAACAAAAAAAAATACAATAAAACAGTTGAATATCTTTCAGATGTCTTGAAAGATTCAGCAACGAAATAATCATACACACAGGGAAAACAACAATATACTTCTAACCACTGTATTTCATTCCAACGAATGAATGGTTATTAAAATGAAGTAGCTAAAACAATGTATAGAATCGAGAATATAAGATAGAAGTAGAACTGAGATATTCACCAGCACAAGCTTTTTACACATAGTAAAATTCAAGCTCTCATTGGTTTCATCTTTATTATGCTTCTCAGCTGAAATAGTTTGGGTTGAGACCGGTGTATCAAACATAGAACTCCTCCCATGAATATCAATTTCAATCTTTAAGCCCATTAGTTGATGGAGACAACCAATGCTTTAAAAGCTAATACTCTAGACAACCCAAGCCAAGTCAGACACATGGCCATCGAACTACAGAAAATTTGCACACTTAGAGTGCTCTAAAAGAAAAAACCATCTTATCCATCTATTACCAAATGGTACAGATACAAAATATTCCCTTTAAACCTGTAGTTCTTGCTTCTCCCCTATAAACACTATGATCCAAGCCCAAACTTGTAGGTTTACCCACCTGCTATAATTGCAGACGATATGGCTATATAAAACATTTCTCCTGTATGTCCCTTGCCACTCATTCAAGTATTTCTCAAACAATAAATCGCTGCACTGTTGAATCTACACCGACAAAGATTCATTAAAAAAATAAACAAAACATATCAGTTCAGACAATAAACTATAACACAAAACAGGCAGGGTACTTGTATAAACATATCAGTTCAGACAATAAACTATATCAGTTCATATATGAACCAACCAACCTTGTTGGACATGAAACAAACCTTGAACAAATTTCTTCACAATAAAGTACATGAAAGCCAAAATCAAGAATGATAATCATGATATTAAAAGGGATAAGAAAATATCCATGAAGAATATGATCGCATAAGAGAGGAAGTCTGAAAATGTAATAACTTACACGGAAGAACATATCCCAAAGCTTCTCCAAAGGAAGTGAACTTGGAGTTAAGAACATGAATGCAATTTTAGACTTTTCCGATAGAACAGTAGGAATATTCAAAATATCTCGCGTAGGTCACGGATTCACGTCAATCTCGGTCGATTGCGCCCGCAATTTAACAGGAACAGACGATTGCCTCGATAACGAGACGCAACCACCGTTATTCAACCGAGATTCCAAGACAAAAACAAAATTGCAATAAACCGTATAAAAAACAAAAATGAAAATGAAGGGAATATATTCCCTGCAAGTTACGGTCTGCAAAAGCCAAAAGAAATAAACAATCTCTATTCAATTCAAGCCAAAAGTATACTGAAAAGTGAAAAGAAAGAAAAAAAATGACTTACAACTTACAAGCTTAGTAGCTTACAAAACAGAGGTTATTTAGTGGACAGTAGAACATCAAATACCCATATATCTTACCAAAAATCAATCGGTAAGGGGAAGAGCTGGAAAAACAAAGCTCTTGGGTGGAAGTCTTCTGTCCGTCGAGCTTCATCTCTGGTGAAAGAATAGATCAAGGCATCAAGCTTCCCGCTTCCATTTAAGAAGGTAAAACTAAAAAATCAAATAATCTAAAAGTTTTTTTTTGCTGCTTAGCTTAAGAATAATTGTTTAGAAAAAAGAAATATCATACAACCAAAAAATATGAGTGAAGCTTGAAGAAGAGTGAAATGGGTCGTGGGGGTGAAGAAGAGTAAATTGGGGAGTGGGGACGGGAAGAACCGAAAAAAGTGAAATGGGTTTGAGAAAGTATCAAACTAATGTAATGAATTTAAACAAAAATGAGTGGGCAGCAGGTTGTGTTTTTGCTTGGGCTTCAGCAAAATAATCATCTGATGGAAGTGAGTGTAGTGTGGGCCTTGTAATTTTCCTACACCCATTTTGTATTTATCATTCTTTAATGCTGGTTTAGTCCGGCAGACAGATATCTAAACGATCCAGCTGTCCAGACGTTGCAAGTTTCCAGCAGTTAGCTCATGTATTTGGTTTATCATTTTTTAATGTTTCATCGAATTTTTAAAGTTTTTTATTTGGTTAAATTATATTATATATATATATATATGCCAATTTTTCTTAAAAAAATATTTTAAAAATCATTAAAAATGATTTCTTATAATTATAATTATTTTTATTATGTTTTAAGATAAGTTGTGCAAAATTTTAAAAAATTCACGACCGCGACACCTGCAGTGAACGTAAGGACAACCGCAATAAACACGATGCAACCGAAAATATGACCACGAACGCTATTTAATATTCTGGGTGAGGGTGGAAGCCAATCAGTAAGGACCTTGCAACCTCTAGAAGAAAATACATAACAAGCAGCACTGCCTTGCGGTGGATAGATGTAAGCACAAACTAGAAAAAGGATAACTAAAGAAACGAAGAAAATAATCCATATTGGCCTCTGCAATGGAGGCGGTGGCGAGATCTAGGCAATATTTGCAAATCACCCATGTCATAACTATTTTTTCGAAAAATAATTAAATATTATTTTAAAAAATAATTATGACTTTAATTTTAAAAATTAGTCAGTTTTAAATTGATTCGAATTAAATTAAATAGTGGTCATCATCAACCTTTAAGTTAAGTAGATCGAATATCAAAAACGTCTTTTAAAACAATTTTAAGTAAAAAAAATCATTTTTAAAATAAAAATTGGTTTGTATTTACCAAACACTCAATTTTATGGGTCTATGAGTCGATTACGCCTGGGGAAGGATTAGCACCCCACAGCGCCCAAAATTGGTACTTAGTCTCTTACACATCGTCGTCAATGGTGTAAAATATAAATAGAATATAAAGTTAGAATATGATCTATTTATTAAAGTTAATTAATTTGCTTCAAATTATTTGTAGGGAAAATCCTTTAATTCGAAAAGAAAATATCGAGATTTGCCCATCCTCCGACGGAATGTCTATCTCTTCTATTTCTTGTCTAAAAAGAATATTTCATCATCGATAAAAAAACGCGAATCGAATATAAATTTAATATCGGCATTTGCATAAAATAAAATATTAAAAAAATGCATCGCGACATTTGAATAAAAACGAATTAATTAGCACTTAAAAAATAACTTCGATTTATTTCAAGTTCACATTTTGTTCGAATATCGTATCGGATCGCACTACTTTGACCAAACTGTGCTTTTCACGCTCATTCTACGCATACGTGTTCTTGAAATTATTCGAACAAAAAACATTAAAATTGAATGGAACTAACATTTCGTACAATCATTCAAAACAAATTCGAAAGGGCAAATAATATATAAATACTAAATATACAAATCGAATATAACAAGATGATTATAAAATAGATATAAAAATGCGAATATAAAAGAATGTAAATGGATATAACATCTATTGTTGCATACATACAAAATAAATGAGCATGATTTAATAAAAATAGGCATATTTGAAATAGTAATCCAAATAAATAATAAGTTATGAATATTTATGACCAAAATAAAATACACATATTTTCTCCACATACATTGGGTACATTCAACATAAATAAATTATTACATATATATATTGGAATAAAATAATATAACATATAACTACATAATAAAAAAACCATCACTCAACATTTAAATAACACACTATGATCAATATGTAAACATGATGATACAAGGGTACTGAAATAATAATAAATCTATAACAAAAGTAGGACTGAAATTGAAGAAAATAAAATGCCACGATTCCAACAGAAATTTAACCACAGATTAAATAACAGAAAACAAGGGACTAAAATGAATCAATAAAACATATCCTGCTTAAGTACAAAATAATTTAAAGCACAAGGACTCCAGCTTAAATATATGCATACATGTACTTAAAGACTAATAAGGACGTGAATGCAACATTAGTAAAACATGAACTCAAAATAACAAGAAATAATTGTTTCATTAAGGACTGAAATAACATAATACAGAACCGGAAGGACCTAAAGTTGGATTATCCCCTAATCAGAAAACACGGAGAAGGGGGACGATGAAGCTACGTCATTTTTCTCGGGATATTTAAGCCCAAACACAGGCTCAACTCCCCTCATTCATTCATTTGCCTCGTTTCAAAAATGAGAGAAAAGAGAGAGAATTCGAAACTATCTCAACTTTCCCCTCGTCGGAAAAGAAAGTCACCGTCCATCGGTGATAGCCACGGCGGCTCACGGTAGAGCCCACGGTGGCCGAAGCGAATAAGGAACTCCTAGACCACTCCTCTCAACCCCTGCAACACATATCTCAAACTTATTTGACCTAAATCCCACTCGTCTACCTCAGATCTAAGATGTACCTTCCGAAAACCTTGAAGACCATTTTGCCATTTTACTATTGATGAATTATTTTGACTAATGGAGAGGATATTTTGCACTGTAGGTGGTCACTGTTCGATGGACGCGTTCTGATCGGCTCCAATGGCAATGGCGGCGAGGGGAAACTTGGTTGGGAAGCTGGAACGTAGGCGCGTAAAGCTCATGCACCTGAGGGAGCTGAAGCGTCGGATAACTTCTAAGATACCCTAGGGTTAGGGTTTAGTTGGGCCTATTCAGGTCTTACAACTGAAATGGTTTACTGGGTTGGTTTCTGGAACTGCGTGGGCTCTGGTTGGTTGGGTCATGTATGGGTTCTGTTTTGAATGTTGGGCCAACTTGTAATGGGCTTGAATTAGTGTAATGGGTTGGCCTGCATAATGTAATTAAATAATATTAATAAAAATAACAACAATAATAATAATAATATATTAATATTTTTGTAGACCCGGACAAAAATTAGTGTCTACAGCTGCCCTTCTTTCCACATTCTTGTGTTAACAAGAATAGGGCAAAGATGAAGAAGACAATGAGTTTTTGTCCGGTTCTCTTTTTTTGGTTTGAAAATTGATATGTTTGTTAGTAGGGACGACACTGCTCATACGTGATGAGGACATCTGGTTAGTGGATAACACGGTTCCTACGCAATGAGGACGGCAAACCATCTTTAGGGAAGATGATAACACGGTTCCTACGTGATGATGACGAGTGATTATCTAGGGTGACACAGCTCCTACGTGATAAGGAGGTTTGGTCGGTGGATGACATGGTTCTTACGTGATGAGGATGATAAGCCATCTTTAGGGATGATAACACGGTTTCTACGTGATGAGGACGGTTGGTTATCTAGGGGTGACACGGCTCCTACGTGATGAGGAGGACTGGTCGGTGGATGACACGGTTCTTACGCGATGAAGACGGCATGCCATCTTTAGGGATAATGGTTTCAAGAGAAACCGACTCAAAGATGAAGTTTCAAGAGAAACTGTCTCAAGAGAGACAAAATTTGTTTCAAGGGAAACGACTCAAAGATGGGTGTTTCAAGGAAAACTGTCTCAAGAGAGATAAAATTCATTTCAAGGGAAACGATCTCAAAGATGGGTGTTTCATGAGAAACTGTCTCAAGAAAGAAAAAAATTGTTTCAAGGGAAACAAACTCAAAGATTATAAATTTTGTTTCCAATGAAACAACTTCAAAATTTGTGTTCTTTAAGGGGAAATTGTCTTAAGCGAGACGAATCAGTTTTGAAAATGTCAAGTGAGATTAACTTTGTTTCAAGTAAAAATATTTTGAAATTTTTATTCCGAGAGAAACTGTCTCAAGTGAGACAAAATTTGTTTTGAGAGAAATTGTCTCAAGCGAGACAAAATTTGTTTTTAAGAAAATTGTCTCAAGCGAGACAAAAATTGTTTTTAAAAGAAATTGTCTCAAGGGTGACACCAGTCTGCTTGTTCCTACATATGTAGGAAAGGTCTTTAGAAGATCTGATTGTTGACTTTAAGAAGTCAAATCATTGTTTCTCCAGGTTAGAGACATTTGGTCATTTCCGAACATTAATTTCCTGAAAGATCAAAACTATTCATTTATGAGTGATTATCTTGGATGTTATGATGGATGCCAAGATTAAATTTATTTAATGTGTTTGATTTGATAAATTATTGAGTTTTTCCTCAAGAGAGGAGAAAAATGTCTTCATTACACATAACGATGAATGTTTGATGCAAATATGCAAATTTCATGTATCATGTATGTATATGTTGATGTATGTTTGTATTGATGTATGTTTTCTCGATCTGGAAGGAGAATGGTTACGAGAGCAGTCTTCACTCTATCCTTGATTCAGTTTGTCTTCATTTCCACCAGGGTGTACTCTTGCAAACCTCAACCTAAGACACTTTGTTTTTCTTGCCCCATCAAAATTTACCCAAAAAATTTGGCTTCCCTTGCCCCAGCTTCGATCTTGAGCTTCTGAGAGATATTCGTTCAATTCCAAGATACGTCCAGAGAATTATCTTGTTTGAAAATGCTTTTATTCATTTGAAAGAACTTAATGAAGAAATAATTTGTGATTTTTTGTTGTCAAATGAACTAAAATAATGTCCCATTTTCGGTTTCACTATTGAATCAAATCACAAAACATGAGTTCATTGAATATCAAAAGAATTAACTACTCTTTTAATCTTTGATAATTACAAATCTTTGACAAATGTCAGGATTAACGGGTTGGTTTTGAGGTAGGCTACCTATACTTTGAGGTTTATTTCATCGATTTGGTAATCGTGAAGATCATGGCATGCCCCTATTTAATGGTTTGGCATTTTGATCGGAGGCGAACAAAATGACACCACTAGCATAGTCAATTGCTAGACTTTTCAGAATACTTTTGTTCATTTATCTGAAATCTTCCATTTGTTCAAGCTTCGTAGA